GGCCAATTTTACAAATAGACCCAACTTTCGGTTGCTGACTAAAAACAATATGTGAATCGCTGCCATGGAGTGTATTAAAGGGTATTTATTTTGGTAATTAGAGTTAATCAAAATATGTGACCATCTCCCCCTTTCATTAAAAAATAAGGCAGAAATTAGGTTATGGCTTAAATTGAAGTTCTCCTTTCAATTTCGCATTCATTCAAAATCACAATCCCATTTTCAATTTCTTTGATTGAATCCACCTTTCTTTGAATTTGAGCTTGAACTTGAAGAGGGTAAATGGGTAATATTGGATATTCGAAATTTTTGAATATGGTGAAAGGCGAAACTGATAAAGTGACACTTTGGTTTAATCCCTAAACTAATGCCCTAATTTTGAATGAAGAAAAAAGAAGAGGAATACGTGCTTCTCACGTGCTTCAACTGATCCTAATCACCAAAATAAACCAAAATAAATACTCTTTAGTACTGCATGTGAAGGGCTCGCGGTTTTTATTGATGTCTGACAGCCGACTTTTTGGGGTTATTTGCATAAGGGGCTGTTTGTTTGCCTAAGGGCCTGTTCGTTTGCCTTAAAAAAATGGGAAATCAAAGAAATAGAAAACTATTTCTAAGAAAAATGGGTTTTTGAATTGTTTGGTTGGCTAAAAAAAAGGAAATCAAAGAAATGGAGATGAGATGAGATGATTTGTCACATTATTATTGGATGATGTGAGTGATTTTTTAAGAAAAATAGTTTTGTTGTTGTTCGGTTGGCGAAAAAAATAAGGAAATGAATTATAAGAAACCTATTTCCTGTAGTTTTGTTATTTTCTTTTGTTTGGTTCATTCTTAAAAATAAGAAATGAAATGAGATGAGATGAGTTGTCATTGTATTATTGGGTGATGTGAAGAAAGATTAAGAAAAGTGTTTTCACAACTTTTTGGGATGAAAACTAAGAAATGAAATGTTAATGAGATGAGGTGAATTGTTATAATATTTTATTCGATGATGTGAGTGATTTGAAATTATGAAAAGAGATGAGTTGAGTGATGTTTGGATGAAAATAATATTTTATTAGATGTGATGGATGAGTTGTTAGATGAAAATAATATTTTATTAGATATGGTGGATGAGTGGTTAGATGAAAATAATATTTTATTAGATGATGTGGATGAGTTGTTGGATGAAAATAATATTTTATTGGATGTTGTGGGTGAGTTTTAGGGATGAAAATGGAAGAAATGGGTTATTTTGAGATTTCCACCTTTTCCATTTTCATTTCTTGGTTTTTAGGAAATAAACGAACAGGCCCTAAAAGAAAGAGGGAAATCAAAGAAATGAAAAACTATTTCTAAGAAAAATTATTTTGGAAATGTTTGGTTGGCTTAAAAAAGAAGGAAATCAAAGAATTGGAAATGAGATGATGTTAGTTGTCACATTATTATTGGATGATGTGAGTGGTTTTTTTAAAAAAACTTGTTTTGATGTTGTTTGGTTGGCGGGAAAAAATAAACAAATGAATTATAAGAATCATATTTCTTGTAATAGGTTGTTTTTTTTTATTTGGTTCATTCTTAAAAATAAGAAAATAAATGAGATGAGATGAGTTGTCGTTATATTATTGAATGATGTGACTCACACTTAAGGAAATCGTTTTCCTACCTTTTTGTGAGGAAATGGATGGAAATAAAATGTTAATGAGATGAGATGAGTTGTCACCGTCTTATAGGATGATGTGAGTTATTTGAAATGATGAGATGGGATGAGTTGAGTGATGTTGTGGATGAAAATAATATTTTATTAGATGTGGTGGATGAGTTGTTAGATGCAAATAATATTTTATGAGTGCTGCTACGGGGACCCAAAATATGGGACCAATGGAGGGGACAGGTGATGTGTCCTCTCCCTATTGCATAATGAGTTACCCATGCCAACTCATTATGCAATAGAAAGAGAACACATCACATGTCCCCTCCATTGGTCCCATATTTTGGGTCTTTAAATCATTTTTTATATTTTATTAGATGTTGTGGGTGAGTTTTAGGGATAGAAATAGATGAAAATGCAATTTTTGAGATTTCCACCTTTTCATTTCTATTTCTTGGTTTTTAGGAAATCAACTAAATAGGAAATGAAAAGATGCAATAATAACTATAGCTAAATAATCGCAGTTTTTTAGCTAAACAATCAGAATAATCTTAATTTTTTGGGTGGCATGGAGATCGCGCCCTCTTCACCCCTTTCTTTGGGCTTTCACATGAATCCCCAACACCTCGCTCTTCATCCTCCGTCTCTCTACCTCAAACCTATCGAACTCAGTTCATCCCTCTCCATCCCCACCAACAATGGCAGAGGGAGAAGACGAAGACGACGGCGACCGACCATTGGATTTGGACCCTTCAAGATAGCAGCGGCATCATTCAAACGAGCTGCCTCCTTCGCAATGTCTCTCCGAGATCTCCTCTCGCAGACGTCGGCGGATCCCTTGAACCTTCTCCTCCTCCATTACGGCGGCGCTCCGGCGGCCCGGCGGATGGATCAGGTGTACCGACTGGAGGCTCCGGCTGGCGCGCGATTGCGTTTGGAAGCAGAAGAAGAGGCAGATTCAAGTTCAAGGGAATTTTCGGGCTCCTCCTCTTCTCGATTTCTCTTGCATCGGTCATTTTTGAGGTCGGAGAGAAGAAGAAAAAGGAGGCGGCGGCCGATTGGGAATTGGGGGTTAGGGTTTTGGTGCCGGCTGCATTGGGGTTCAAGATTAGGGTTTGGAGGAATTGGGTCGGGCTTGGGCTTACCGTGGCCCTGGGAGTCGTGTCCTGTTACATTTTGTTGCGCCCAAGCGGAGAGAAGAATCGCAGACCGTGATGATCTTTTCTTTCGAATTTTTCTTCACCATTCATATGAGTACATTTCGATTGCCAAGATTACTCTTTTGTGGTTTCGTTTTGAATTAAATTTTGAATTAATCTTTATATGAACTGAATATTTGATGACTACAGCCTAAAACGTGCCTCCAGATTGAATAATTTTTCCCTCGGTCCAGTAAGCAATGGCAGAAAATTTCAACAAATAGAAGGAATCAACTTAACACTTTGTTTGGGAGTTTACTAAGAGAAGGGACAGATAATTAAATAAGGGAAAGGAAATATAGGAAAAGAGATTAGTTAAATAATGGAAAGGAAATGTAAGAAAAGAGATTGAAAAGATAAAATGTACTTTGAGAGTTTAGTACGGGGACGAAGGAAAGTGAAGTGAATATATATAAAGTTATATAAACGTCCTCACGTGTTATCCAGATGAGGGTACATCTTAGCTATTGAGTTTAATGTCATAAGGGTATAATTGTCTTACCATATTATGAAATTTTACTCTGATTTCCATTTCATCCTCTACTGCCCAAATTGGAGGGGAGGAAAATCTGGAGAAATTTAACCTTCCATTCCATCCTCTAACCCCTCAAGAAAACCCCCGAACACGGTTAAAATGAAGTTTCACTTTTAACTTCCATCCTCTAACCCCCATCCAAACACAAAGAAAAAAAAATAGTTCATCTATTCTATACATTTCTTATACAATTGTTTCCTTCAAAATCTAAAAACACATATCTAAAGTATCCCTAAAACAAAAAAAGGGAAAAGGAACTACCTTGTGTGTGATAAATGATAATGGAACACATTCCAAGAATAATGTAGACACACAATTTAACCGTGATAGTTTATACACATCCCTTCCAATCTTCCCACATTGCGTGATTCCTCCGTACCATCCATCAGGGTCTTGCAAACAATGATTTCTGATGACCATATATCAGAGGGATTTTCATTTCCTCAAATCAATTCTCCGAAAAAGATCCAACTGGAGCTAAAACATTTATCTTCTGATTGATTGCATTTTCATTTTCTCGCTTTAGAAAAAGTGCAAATAGGATCTCGTTCCACACGTCAGGAACTCCTGGCAAACACCAATGGCTACAATCTTGCCTGTGAAGGGGAGCTTTCTTATTCGGGCCAAGATAATACAGAGATAGATGACCGTCCTTCCTATGAGCCGTCATATATGTAATGTTCAACAATTCAACTTTTTTATTTGCTGGAACCTGACCTGAGTACTTCAAAGGAAGATTCTTGAACGGGCTCAGCAAATTAGACCATGAACTTAATTGCACTGCTGATGAATTCAGCTCCGGCTGTGTTTCTAAGTGACAACTGCCTCCAGTCTTCCAATCTCCGAATCTGCGTGATTTATCATGTGAGTTACATGAATAATTATCGCACTTGTACAAAATTTATATCGTATCCTGTGAGTACATGATTCTTTATGCATGTGATTTTATGCTTACCAAATTCGCAAATAAATAAATTGAACAATGTAAATTAAAAATTGAGGGGGTGTTTTTTTTTTGGGGTGTGGGGTGGGTGTTGATAGAAGTTATCAACTGTCTCCTGCGTGTCAGAAGAATGTACTTCTTAGGAAAGCATGAAAAAGGAAGATTGTAAACAATCAAACCTGAAATGCACAGGCGCATATGTGCGAAAAAAGACACGAGTCTTGTTTGTATTAACTTCTGTATGAATCCACTCAAGTAGCGTCTTGATCGATCTTTGATAAGCATTTTCGACACTCATCTCCATCTTCACCTTATTCCCCTCTTGGAAATAGTTGCCCCTGTATGAAACATAAGGTGATAAGCATTTCAAAATTCACATTTGACAGTCAGTAAAAGAACGATGCTCCGCTACTATGGATTTATTTTATTGAATTTGAAATGGATCTTCTCAATATTAACAAAGCCTAAGCTGGTATATAAGATTCTAATCATTCTATCATGTCGGATGATGTATCGAGATGCCATAACAATTGAGCTGAAGGAATAGCTTCTTTGCTATGGCATGTCGGATGATGTATCGAGATGCCAAATTGTACCCTAATTATGTCCAAACTCTAAATGCTAAAGTTGTCAACTTAAAAACTGTAATTCCATGATTTTAGTAATGTCCAACTGGGCTAATAAATGTACTGGTTGGTTTTGCTACTCCTTCAGCTCAATTGTGGATCAGTTACTGGATGTTGATTTTCATAAATACTTTAAAGAACACGTTATCTGCTCTGGAATTTCTTAGAGACTAGTGTAGTAATCCTGGTAAGGCATTCCTAAACAAATGACCATAATAAAGTGATGAATATGTGCCCTCATGCACACTACAAAGTATTGTATTGTCATTTACCAAATCTTTTATTGGATTGTTTTGCTAATGGTAATGCGTATTTCACAGAACATTTGTCTAAAATAAATTGATCTGATTTTCATGTGAATAAGATTTGATTGCAATCTAATTGCATGACATAATTACATGGAATTCATCCAGTGCTGAAGAACAGAAAGCCAGGTTTTACTCTAGTGATTAAAATGCCTACAAATAATACCCTTGATATTCAGTTCTACAAATTATCTTTGGTTGGGTTTGCCTTTAAAGTAATGAATATTTTGTGAAAATTAGCTTCTAGACATCTTTGAGTAAGAAACTAACCAGTTTGAAAATTGATGGTATGTTTGACGAAAATAGAGCTTTCGTGGATGTTTTTTTGACAAAGTTCATGAGGTTTGCAGCATTAGCAATTTTCAGGCCTAAACAAGCCAATGAAGAGAACGTACTTATACCATTATCTTACCTTTTGACAGTCTTCTCATAGCTCCACCAGTGCCCTGTGTTGAAGATCAAAATATCAGCATCCTTCCATTTGTTGGCCGTAAAATCAAGTAAGTCCAGCTTAAGAGTGGTCGCCACCTTCTCCGGTGCCCCTGGTGGCTTTCTACTGTGACGAATCAGAAATGGAGCTCTATAGTACTCCACGGTCGTATTATAGTCTCTAAATTTGAAAGCTAAAAAGCCTGTGTGCTTAGCTATCGGATTTCCATTTATTTCATAGATGGAGCTCTTGTCAGCAATTGCTGAAGATAGCATACACAAGAGAGACTCCCATTGGTTTCTCCCTATTGAATCGCCCACGAATACCAACCGCTTGTTTCGTAATTTCTCCAGCATGTATGCGGCATCAAACCTACAGTCAAGAAAGACACCACATGACAGAATCAGCGGAAAAAAAAAAAAGTTCATGAGGACTACAAGGTAACCGACGCTTCCATGTGAGGATAAGGCTTTCCATCAGAACTTGGGCATCGTAAAGAACATAAAAGGATACTTCAAAATGTGACCTTAGTAAAGTTGAATGGAGAAAAAATTTCCATACATGTAATTGTCAGGATTGCAACAAGAACCTCCGTTACTTGTTGTTGTTGTGGTGGTGGCATTAATAAGCAACAAAATCATCATTTTTCATGTTATCCTGCATTTTGTTCATTGATTTGTGTCCAGCTCTTCCATTGCATAATATGCAATTGACAGTAAATTGAAGATTGTCAATAAATAATGTATGTATACGTATATGTATGTATGTATGTATGTGCGTGTGCGTGTATATATATATATATATACTACTATATATAGTATATATATATCATATATATATATATATATATATAAGTAATATTATTAGTATTCCTCTTCTTTTTTTGATTTTGAGGAAAAACGTTTGTCAAGCGCAAATTTCACGCAGCCGAACTAATTTTTAACCATGTGATGCGCAATCGACTGGTGTTATCAAAAGCTAAATATTCCTAGTCAACTTCCAGTAGCCAGAATGCTGATTGGGACTACTTAAACGAGGTTTGATAATACTCGTCTAAATGACATTCGTACTATTAATTAAATTAGAGTCGAAACAGTCAAAGACTGTATCAGAGGGTTTGATACTCATCACGCAACTAGCATCTTGATTAGTTGCGTACGTAGAAGACTTTTTATAAGTTTGCACAAGAATGTCAGCAGGAGGCCCCACATGAAAGGCGCTTGCTTTTATTTATTTTTTTTACGTGCACAGCCCTGTAAGTTGGGCATCCAAATTAAATGTTACTAAAACTTGCATAGAATATACCCACCAACTTTATAAGCATAATAAAAATAATAAACAACTAGCATTAGCAACACACGTTGAGAGATGAAGGAGAATCATTCGAGGAGGAGGAGCAAATGTCAAAGCCAGCGACGCAGAAGAAGAATGAAATTATCGATCGAGAGGAGAAAATTCGCGCGAGGCCTCCGCAACAATCTAAAAGGAAAAAAAATCTCTAAAAGGAGAAGAAAACGGAACTGGGCGAATATGGCTAGAGACCCACGTAAAGAAAGAGGTGCGTGTTTTTGTTCGTAAAACCCACAAAAATCAAGAGAACCCAAGTAAGTAAATACAAGAAACGAACTACGCGTACGGACGCTGCTTTGCTTGTGTGCACGTGCAAAGAACGAATTGATGAGGGAACGAGATTTGGAGACAGAAGACAAAACCTCGGAAGACTGCATCCTTTAGGCTGCCAGCTCCACTTGGCGTACAAATCATCAGGCCTCCCGTTCTCTGAGCACCGGAATCCTCCGTCCAAAAAGGGACAATCCTCAGACTCGTACAGGGGGTAATTATCACTTTCATCACCCAGAACCCATTCGCCATCGAAATAGTCACAGTACTCGTCCTCTTGATCGTTTCTAATTGCTTTATCCTCTGTCTTCTTTCCCTCTCCTCCTCCTTCCTCCTGAACTTCTTGAACCAGATTGGGGTGGGCTCCATTTGCGTCAACCGCCAGCCTCTTCATCAAGAGAACGGGCGGCGGCGGCGGCCTGTAATCGAAGCCGAGACGAGGGTGGAGCAGGCTCAGACTCGCAAGAAGTAGGAAACAAACCAATACTACGATCTTCGTTCCTTCTGGCTTCATATCTTTTAGTTGAAAAATCCTGGTGCGGGTGCAAATTCTTTTTTGAGGAGGAGTTTTAATGATGGTGTTTTAATAAACCAACGGCCCTCTTGTCTTTCTTCTTCTCTTCCATTACATTAAAAATTGATTGATTGAGTTGTAGTCAAAAGCGACTGACTCCTTCCTGTATTTTACTGACTCGTACATGGGAGAGAAAGAAATAAAGAGGAAAGGGAAGAAGCCAGAGTGAAGGCGAAGAAATTAAGAAAGTTTAAATTTAAATTCTTTTTCCCCTCTTTTAAAAACAATACCAAAAGGTAAATATGATGAAGAAAAGAAGTTTTCAGTTCAAAATTTTTAAAAAAAATATATTGTAACAAAAATCAGTTAGTGGGCCGAAAAATAAGTTGAAAGATACGGACAACGTGGACATTGGGTGAAGATAACATTGTTACTTTCAAAGAAGAGAGAAGCGGAGATTCCTTTGTGTTTCTTTGGATTTTCTTGTTTTATTATGATTATTATTATTTTGCTTCAATTTATTTATTTTGTTTTATTGAAAATTGGCAAAGAAGACAAACAAGTAATAGTAGAGGTATTTGATAATCACAATGGCCAAGAATGAATGTAATTTTTTTATTAGTATCTTATTAACTCGTGGAGAACACTGTCATCCCTTCTTAATTCAATATCTCTATCGCACTTAAAGAATTTAAAAACACGGATGCATCATTTAGTGTCTATCATCATGTTTATCTCATTAAATTACTACTTATAGTAACTATTATGGTTAAACGCTTACGCTCTTACACATATTTTATTTCTGAATATACACTCTTTTTCAAAATAATATTTATTTGAAATTTATTGCCGCGATCAAATTACATTAAGAATGATATAAGGCATATTTGAATAAGAATTCATATTATGCTATAATGATATCTTGATTATTTTTACAATTTTTTATAAGATCAATATTTTTACTGCAATTATTCTTTTAGATGTTTTATAATAGTATTACTATAAGATATATGATAAGGCATATTTTATAAGATTTATTATTAAAAGAACAAAGGATTTTCTATGAAAAGAGTAGACAAATAACATCAGTCTCTTAAAAGATAGTAGATATTGATAGTTTTGCCCGTAGATATTGATAGTTTTGCCGGTGCACACATGGTCAGATCCATTTATCTAACTTTTCAACAGTCACTTTATTAATTGTAAACTATTTCATCATTTTATCATTCTAGTCTGTATATGATAAAATATAAAACAAATCACATGAAAATCACAACAAAATTGATAAACCATGATTAACACTAACCATAAACATGTACACCGCGTTCAATAGTTCTATATCGGCCTCAGATGATACTCAGTGGTCTCAGGTGATACTCAGGATGATGATTCATGTGGTAGTGCTCCACTACAGATCATTCCAGTCACGGTGAGGTGTGAAACCCCTCCTATACCCTTGCCCATGGATACCCGTGTTGGCTCTGATTTGCATGACGTTACAGTTTCCACATCCACCTCCGGAAAGCGGGCTATATTCCTGGAAGAGGCTTGCTAGAAGGTTTGGGCAGCAGGGCTCCAAACAGAAAGAGAAAGGGGGCAAACGTAGGAAAGATTCTCTGAAGGATCCTCTGGATGCACATGAGAAGAGGGCACGATTAGTGATTTCCGGTCCAGATTCTACTCTTGTTGAGGCGCACTCTGGTGGCCTGGGGCTCCAGGAGCCATGGGTTACTTTTGTTGGAACGTTCAGGGACTGAGGAACCCTGAAACGTTGACTGCTTTCCGCAGATTGACGCGGACTCATTCCCCAAGTCTAGTCTTTCTTTCCGAGACTAGACTTTCTGGTAGGTGGGCGCAAATAATGAGATCTCAGTTGGGTTTCTAGAATTGCTTTGTGGTGGATAGTAGAGGCAGAAGTGGTGGACTCATGTTACTATGGGGCGATGAAATGGAGACTATTCGTTCTTTTTCTCCGGGGTACATTGACGCATCAGTTGTTGACTCATCACCGGGTTTATGGCCATTCTCAGAAACACTTACGGTACCAGTCCTAGGGTCTGTTGAGACGGTTGAACGGTCTTTCCTCTAGCCATGGTTATGTGGAGGTAACTTTAATACCATCATGAGCCCAGGGGAGAAGCTGGGTGGTAGACAAATGCATGTTTCGAGAATGCTAGATTTCCAGAATGTTCTGCTGCATTGTGAGCTACTTGATCTGGGGTATTGCGGACACACCTTCACTTGGAATAATCGTCAGACTGGTACATCTCATATCCAGGAGCACTTAGATAGGATGGTAGCTGACTCTGGCTGGCGTGACATATTTCCCTTTGCTGAGGTACACCACTTGGATTTTTTTTGTTTATGACCATCGTCCTATTATGTTATATTTTGCTGCTCCTCGCCCTCTTCCAGTTAGGCATAGTCGTCCCTTTCGTTTTGAAGCCTTCTGGCTCAAAGAGGATGATTTGAGTGATGTTATTAACAGGGTCTGGCCTGAGATCTCCACACAACAGGGTCTACGTGAATCAGTTTGTCGGAAGCTAGGGTCTTGTGCTACAAATCTCAGTAGTTAGAACAAAGAGCGTTTTGGTAGATGGAGGCACAATTATTCAACAAAGGCTCCAGTCTCTCAACTCTTCTCCTGATGTGGGGGATCGTATGGTTGAGATCCGAAGACTTGAGAAGGAGAGGGAGGTTCTTGAGTATAGGGAAGAGATCTTTTGGCGATGGCGAGCTAGGGTTGATTGGCTCCGAGACGAGGACCGTAACACCAAATTCTTCTATATTAGAGCTTCCACTAGAAGGAGGAAGAACTTTATTAGCCATCTACGTCATCCTAATGACACTTGGGTGGAGGATCAGGTGGGAATTGCTATCCTTATTGAGGAGTATTTCTCAGAATTATTTTCCTCTTCCACTCCTTGAAATGAGGTTTTGGCTGAGGTGAGTGGTGCTATCTCTTCTAAGCTTTCAGTGGATGACCTCTGGATCATTTTTGAGCCTTTTATAGGTGATGAGGTATGGGGTGCTCTTCGATCTATGGGCATTTCTAAGGCACCTGGCCCAGATGGCATTCATGCATCCTTTTTCAGTCCTAATGGTCTGTTATTAGCACAGATATTTTGGCTACATGTTTGAAGATTCTAAATGGGGGCTCATTTATCAGGTCTTGGAATAAAACCAATGAGGTTCTCATTCCCAAAAAGGATTCACCTGAGACTGTGGTAGATTTTAGACCCATTGGTCTATGTAATGTGGTATATAAGATTGTCACGAAAACCATTGCTAATAGGCTGAAGTGAGTTCTTGGCGGATTGATCAGATGCTTTCAGAGTACCTTTGTCCCAGGGAGATCAATTCAGGACAATATCATTGTTGCTTTTGAACTTCTTCACACATTGCAAAAAAGGAGACGGGATCAGTCTGGCCATATGGCACCGAAATGGGATATGAATAAGACATATGATAGAGTGAAATGAGGGTTTATTGACAAGGCCCTTCAGGTCATGAGATTTCTAAATCATTGAAGGCATCTCATCTTGAACTGTATCTCTACTTCCTTACTCTCTTTCTGCCTCAATGGGTAGATTGTGGGTCAGGTCACTCCTACTCATGGTATGTGACAAGAATGCCTACTATCTCTATATTTGTTTCTTTGTACGAAAGCTCTCTCGGCACTGATCATCAGACATGAGGAGAACATGTGTATCAGAGGGTTACATTATTCCCAATCGGGGCCAAGGAATTCTCATTTGTTCTTTGCAGATGACTCTTTGGTTTTTATTCAGGCTTCTCAGACCGCTACACAGACTATCTAGAGTACTCTGCTACTATATGAGGCTGTAACCGGTCAAAAAGTTAACTTTCAGAAGTCTGTCATCACCTTTAGCCCCTGTGTAGATAAGGATACTAGGGCCTCTATTTTCTGTCTTGGGACTTGATAGGACTCAGTCACATGATCGATACTTAGGCCTCCATTCGGTGGTTGGAAGAAGCCGTCGTCAGACTTTTGCTTCAATCAAAGACTCGGTTTGGAAAAGAGTCCAAGCTTGGAGGATGGCTCTTTTCTCACCTGGGGGGTGAGAGGTTATTGTAGGTGTAAATTTTGATCTCCCAAAAACAGGGAACTTCGTTTGTATTGATAAGAACGGCTTTATTACAAACTAATAATCAAATGTTTACAACAGAAGCGGAGGAAAAGCCCTCCTTGTTTAACGTGTGTTCCTCGGTGGCGATAGGACGCCTCGCTCGGTGCTCGTGCCGAGTCTGCTTCCCTTGGACGATCCGATCGAAGTTGCTGGCGAGCTTCAGTACGCAGTAGAGGCTCGGGTTGATGGAGTTTGAATCTCCGAGTTCGACGGCGATCAGGGCCTGGAACTAGGAGAAGATGCTACAGTGCAAAAGTTATGCAAAGAGCTTGTCGTCGACTCGGTTGGGAGTCGAGAGCTGGTGGTTCCACTAACTGATTGAATTAATCAATTAACTATGTGTGAACCCCTTTCCTGTAGCCGGGCGAGGTTCTTAAATAGAGGAGAGATGGCGTGGCCGCTCCTTGAATCATGGGATGCGACCATACATTATTCAGAGATATCCTGCTATTCATCTGTACCATGAGCGGTCATTCGAGGAGTCGTGTTTGGCATCACGTTAAGTAGGAGCGGGAAAGCCCCTCCTCGTATGTGTGACGACGGTTGTCAGATACTCGAGTGGATCTGACCAACCACCGAGCGCCGGCGGGTCTCACCCTTCGCTTGGACAAGTGAGGTGGGGCATTTATGAGGGTGCAGGTTAATTTGGCGTTTGTCTGACCACTTGTACCGTGAGCGGCTATTCGGCGGGCCTGGAGTACCGTGTCTTCTCTCTTCAGGTCGAGAGAGGTGGGAAAGCGGGTTCATGATACTCGAGTGGGCTTGGATAGCTCGCGGGTGCTGGCGGTCCGGCTCTTGACTCAGACAGCGAAGGTGAGCTGCATTTATGAATGTTCAGGTTGACTCGACACCTGCCCAATCATTCGTACTATGAGCGGCCGCTTGACGGTCTTAGGGTACTGTGCCCTCTCCCTTGATTTGTGGGATTTGACCACTGATGTAACTGTTCCCATACTCCAAGTGGGCAGTTAACAGTGAGCTGGCGAGTCTGCAGCTTGGGTCTGTAGGCGAGCTTGGGACTGTAGGCAGACTTGGGTCTGCAGGCGAGCTTGTAGGCGAGCTGAGTCT